GGAAATCTGGACACACAAGGGAACACCAGGTATGTCTGTATAGAGAGGGAAGACCATGTGAAACACAGGAGAAGGTGGTGATCTACAAGCCAAGGAGAGAGTACTCAGAAGAAACCAAACCTACCAAAAACTTGACCTTGGACATCTGACCCCCAAAACTGTGAGAAAATAAAATTTGTTGCTAAAGCCACTCAGTCTGTCATATTTTATGACATCCCTAGCAAAGTGATAAATAATGTGACTTGGAACCTGCAATAACAAAATCCTGGCCAATTGTAATAATAGCTATTAACAGTAATATCTGGTATATGGGTAAAGGCAAATTATGTTGGGTATAATAAATACCTCTCTGATTCTTACTGGTTTGTGGAGTGAAACAAACCTGTACAGTAGACACCCCCCTTTTTACAATTGGTCCACTATACAATCCAATCACCATACAAGTACTTCCTATTAAACTATAAATCACTTTAAAAAAAAGATTTATCTATGCATACAAGAACTGGGGTACAGACCAGAGGTATGAGGGGTGAGAGGAATCACCAGAGACAGAGTGGGGAACAGAAAAGGCAGATTGACTGAAACACACTCCTGAGGGGAGCAGTGGGCGAGTCAGGAGAGGTCTGCTGCGCCATGTGGGTTGCTCCCTGGCTGGCCAGGGGATCAAACTCATGCTGCAGTGGCTGTGGATTGCTTCATAAATTGCATCTTAACCCCTTGTGCCACCAGGGAGGCCCCTAAAATATAAATCTTTATGATTTAATTTTCACATTATGGTTGCCTCCAACTAGACCATGTGGGTGGGGGCATTTGTGGGTGGGGCATTTGAATATTAGCATATAAGTCAATCACAAAGTATTTATTGGTTTGAGGATCTTTTCTCACATGGGTCCTTGGTTTTTTTCTAGTATAGAAATGTTTTGTTTTCTAGCTTTCATGTATCCTTTCATCCAAGTGGTTGCTACTGGATTGTGTAAAAATATTGTGCTAATCTAACCAATTGTGGGTCCTAAAGAGCTCATTAAAAAGAAAACCTCAATTAAATTGAAACAAGACATTATAAAAAAGCAAAATGATGTTGTAAAACAGTGAATTGGTATGAGAATTTGGTTTTTTTCCACATATTCCATTAGCAAACTTAAGTGACTTTGAGATAACCTTTTCCAATTTAGGTTACTTATTTTTATTTCATCTTTTTAATGTCAATAAAAACAAAATTCTGGTTATATTGTATAAATCAGTCTTATATAAACTTAGGTGTCAAATTTTGCAAATCATGTTCTCTTGGAATTACTTATGCAATATCAATATATTTATTGGATTCACATATTTTCTCTATAATACCATGTCTGTAGAATGAATTAGTATCATAAAGTTAGGGGCTACTTTACTATAATCACGCCATAACAGATAATATTGGCTTCGCTGGTAAGATAAAATTACCTTATGTAATATTGTAATGTAGATATTGATAATTATATGTATTGGGAAACTGAATTAAAGCCTCCTCAGAATGTGATATCAATGGAAAATGGTTAGCTTTAAGAACTAGATGTAGTCAACATCAGTTAATATACTAAATAGCTCTATACAAGTTTATCATAAAATACAAATAACATAGACCAAGGACAAACTAGTGCAAAAATATGGAGCTATATGTGATGTATTAATTACTTTTCATGTCTATCCCTATTCTGCGCTAGCTCCTCCAAATGCTGGGCATACACATGTTGATACTGCTAGATGCCGGGCACCAGCCTCCGGCAAAATGTCGTGTCAGGGGTTCCTGAAAGGATGAGACGGCGTCGGCGAAAACGAAAGGGCTGAGGGGAAGGGGACGAGGTAGAATGAGGAGACACTGACACTTGGTGAGGTGCTAGTATCTTCTGCCGCGAGACTCAGCAGGTATTTATTTATTTTTAGTAAGCAGAAAAAAAATACATTGTCATGTGTAAAGCAGAAACAACTAGCGTATTTTATTCCCATGGACTACTGGCTCCTACGGGTCCCAGCTAGACAGTAGCCTTTAAGGTTAATAGATAAAAAATCAGACCTAACACTAAAACTTATTTTTTCAGCTAGACAATTATCTAAGACAGTGGATAGCCGCCAGTGCATCCCTATCAGTTAAAGCCTAAGCATCAAAAGACTATTTTATTCACATGGCCTTCAGTCAGAGACCAGCTGCTGCACAGCTATTAGAACTTTTTTTACCTACAAACTTTTTAACACAGTTAATTTCATTTAAAAACTTTCCTAAGAAACTTCTAAATAAAAGGAACTTCTAAAAAAGCAAAAGAAGGACTTACTATAATAGTTGTGCTGGTTTGCTTGTCAGATATATACAATAAATCATCTCCCATTGTCAAGTGGGCCAAATTGTTTAATAACTAATATTTAAACAGGTAATTTTCCGTGCCAATTGCTTGCAGTCTACTGATACATATAATTTATTGCCTAATGTACTTTTTTGATAAATTTTTTTCTTTTAATGACCAAGAACAAAAAATGAAGGAATGTTAGATCTTCAGCCCCACGGTGTGAGGCACAAGGAATCTTCAGCCCCACCGTGTGAGGCCCTTTACCTTCGGTCCCACGGTGTGAGGCCCTTTACCTTCCAGTGTTTTATCTGGCTGGGGCATCAAGGCCTCCTGCAGCAGCTAGCTCCTCCAAATGCTGGGCATACACATGTTGATACTGCTATATCTATTATATAAATGCTATATTAGATGTAGATGCTCAGCAAAACACAATCATTTTCCTGTAAGAGAGTCTGGGCCAAAGACCAGAAAAAATGAATTGTACACGAAAGAGTTGACTTAGTAGATCATATGCCCATAACTTGTACATTCCCAGAATAATCTGTTTTCAAGAATGACCCTTGACCAGATATTGGAACTAGAGTTCTTGGAATGTTTTAACTCACAAAAGTGCTTTTTCACACTTGCAACTTTTGTGTCAATGAATCCAGATAGTTTGTGTAAATAAAGTGTTTTATGGTGAATACTCTTCCTTCAGATGGTCTGTTTTGGTAACTGTGATCAATGATGCAGTCACTGTGTATTTATGTGTCCAAATCCCAATAAAAATTCTGGAATCTTAGGTTCAAGTGAACTTCCTTGGTTGACTTCCCTTCACACAAGGCTCTACAATTTGTAGGTAGAGGAATTAAGTTCATCCTGTACAACTCCACTGGACGAGAACTCTGGAAAGCTTATGCCTCATTTCCTCTAGACTTGCCCCAACCAACTATATCCTTTACTGATTTAGCTTTAGATTCTTTTGTTGTAATAAGTCGTCACCATGAATATAATGAATTATGAGTCCTATTGAATTCTAGAAGGAGTCTTAGGGATCCCTGTCATCCATAGAACATACCTAATGAGCAAAAAAGACAGCAGTAATAGAGGACTATAGGAATAAGTTAGATATATAAGATATATACAATAAAACAAATAACAAAATGTACATTTTATATAATTATATTAAATGTAAATGGAAGAATAACAGCATACTTATCAAAAATATGCAAGACAGTACAGTAACATCCTTACAGTACTACAAGAAAAAAAGTTGCCAACTTAGAACTCTATAGTAGAGAAATGTATTTCAAAAGTGAAGATGAAATAAAGACTTCATCAGATACACGAAACTTGAAAGAAGCAATTTTTAGGAGACCTACACTATAAGAAATGTTAAAGAAAGTCCTTTGGGTGGAAGATGGAGAGCCATCTGATGGATCTGATGGAGAACTAGGTATACATAAAGAATTACAAAGCACCAAAAATGGATAAAAAATAATCTTTTTTCTTGTTTCTTTTTACATCTCTTTTATATTTAAAAGATAACTGCTGAAAACAACAAAAAAAATAATAACAATGTATTGTGGGGTTTAATGTATGTAGAAATAAAATGAATGATAATAGCACAAAGGCTGGGGAAGTTAAAATGGAAATATATTGTCTAAATCCTTATATTACACGTGAAATAGACTGTGGTAAATTAAATTTGGGCAGCTTAGGCCTTAATGGAACCACCTGTAAACCACAAAGCATTATACCTAATAAGTCATCAAAAGAGAGAAAATAGAATAATAAATAATATTCATTTAATTATTAAAAAAGTAGAAAAAGTTGAATAAAGTACAAATGGGACGAATAGAAGGCAAATAACAGGATAGTAGATTTAAAAATCAATCATATTAATCACATAATAAATGAAAATGGTGGAAATGTCCAAATTAAAAAGTAAATATGAAATTGGAGAGTAAGGCCCAACTCTAAGCTGCCTACAAGAAACTAGATTCAATATACAAAAACAAATAGATTAAAAGTAAAAGGAAGAAAAGATATACCGTATAAACACTATCAAAAGGAAGCTAGAAAGCTTATAGTTACATCAACTGAAGTAGTTTTCAAAACAAAGAAGATTGCTAGGGATAAAAGGAAACATTTCATAATGATAGTCAATCAACCAATCCAAAAAGTTTATATACCTAACAACAGCTTCAAAATACATGAAGCAAAAACTGATAGAAATAAAAAAAAACAAATCTAAAATTTTAGTCAGAGATTTCAATATCATTCTCTCAATAATTGATAGGACAAACAGAAAATCTATCAAGAAAAAGACTTGAACAACACAATCAATCAACTTAATCTACTTGACATTTATAAAACACCCACCGAAAGAACAATATGAGACACATACTTTTCATGCACGTGTGCAAGATTTTCCAAGGGAGACTATGTTCCAGGCCATTAAATAAATCTGAGCTGGTGGTGGGAATTTTATGGGGAATACACAATGATATGAAAGATATAAATAAAAATATCGTAAAATATTAATAAATGTAAAAGGATTAATATCATATGAGGCATATTTTCTGAATTAAAATAGGAATCAGTTCCAAAAAGTCTAGAAAATCCTATAAATATTTGGAAAGTAAATGACACCCTTCTAAATAACTCTAAGAAGAAATAAAAGGGGAAGTAAGAAAGTATTTTGACCCAAATGAAAACAGAACATATCAAAATTTCTGAGGCATAACTAAATCAGTATTTACAGGAAAATTTATATCATTAAACATTTGTATAATAAAAGAAATGTCTGAAATCAAAAGTGGTCATCAGACCAGCACATTAGCAACACCTGGGAATTGGGAATACACATCTTTAGCCCCTATTCTAGACTTACTGATTCAGAAACTATAAAGGTAAGATCCAGTTATCTGTGGCCCTCCACATCAATCATCAATCTGATGCACATTCAACTTTTGAGATACACTGTTGTAAACTCTTGAGTGTCATTTATATTGTATTAAGACTTTCTTCAATCAGGATCTGTAGTTTTTACTCCTCTGAAGTTCCTGTCATTGAAAACGATTTTATTTTGAATAGTCTGTTAATTTTGTATCATTTAGAAAATTTCCCCACGAGTCAGTCCTGCAGTCATTAACCCAAGAAATAATAAAAGCCTCATTTGCTAAACAGATCCAAGTTTCAGATGATGTAGTTATAATTTTTCTTAATGTCTGCTGGGGGTGGCTAGAGGACAAGCACTGGTGGGGAATATGACCCACCAGAAGAGTTCAAACTGTTTTCAGTAGAAATTCCGTTCATGTGGGAAAGAAACATAGTCAACTCCCAATCATGTACAGTGGTGAAAAGGAACAAACACATTAAATCTAAATAGCTGATGATATGAAGTAATTTGCTTGAAATAATGGTTTTATACCTACACTCGAATATGAATTCATCTGATGCTCTGGAAAGTCACCTTAACCAAAATATTGAAGCCCTAGCATAAGCACCAGCTTAGATGCACTGACTCCTATAGTGGTCCAATTAATTCATTTTCAATGAATTCAGTGCATCAATCTACAGTAAATCTAGTCTATATCTAAATTTGCTGGTTCACCTCTTTCCTGGGATAGGGCAATAATTGGGTTTAGTGGACTTCAGCTACAGCTTCTGCTAATTAAGAATAAACAAAATCCACACTGTATAAAAATATTTAACTGACAGGTACAGGTGATAATTTCACTAAGGACATACACACAAAGTTTACCATGAAATAATTGTAATATCAGTTCAGTTTTATTATAAGTTTTTAAGACAAAGGGGAAAATATAAAGCCTGTCTAGTATTACAAGGCTCCAAGGGAAGATGCAACCCATTCTATAATCATTTCTCTCCCCCAGTCTTTGCTGACTTTCTCAGCTTTGGTTCTAAAGCACTGCCTTCTGTTCTTCTCTGTGTTTTTTTATCAAGAGGCCCATAACAGTTGACTAATGGGCTATGGAGTATAATTAATCAAGCAATCAGTCAGCAACCACTGTTAAAATGTTTTAATATCAATGTAAAATGAGATCAGGGTTTTACAAGCAAGTTTGAGAACACAAACACTGGTTTCTAAAATGAGTTTCCCTTCCTTTCAGAATCCCATAGATGAACACATAAATCTTAGGAATTTTTTAAATCATGGTATTTTTCCCATTTTCATGTCAATCTACAGTTGACAAACATGCAAAACTAATTTCCAAATCAAAGACCTCTAGTAGAAACCTCCAAACTAAAAATGAGGCATTATAATTTACCTATTGGCCATAACACCCAGCAAGAAACCATCCTTTCCCCCACACTTCAGAAAAACCACCACCAATTATTTCCTAGGGCATGAATGGCATTAACAGTACTTAGCCCTCCCCCGTCAGCATCCAGGGATCCCTGCTTCAGTCCACGTTAATTTATGTTACAGTTCCAGTTGCTGGAAATGCCCCACCACCAATTATTTCCTAGGGCACAAATGGCATTAACAGTACTTAGCCCTTCCTTGTCAACATCCAGGGATCCCTGCTTCAGTCCATGTTAATTTGTTACAGTTCCAGTTGCTGGAAATGCCCCACCACCTTCACTATGTTACACTTGGCAAAGCACGGACCAACAATGGCACAATGTGGGAAATGTATCATGAAGAACATAATGATCTAACTGATGAGCTACCGATTAGGCGAGGATATTAATGGAAAAGTAAAATTCCAGGAGGCATTCTTTTTTTATCCTTTCCAAGTTACCAGCATGTACAGTATCAGCAAGTAATGAATAGAGGAAGATGATAACAGCCACATACATGAGCCTCCCTGGAATTAAAAGCAAACTAAACAAGATGTGCACTATAGTGGACCGAAGAACCACCTCCCATTTTGATTTATTTGCAAGCAACCATCAAACTGAGAGGTTCATAAAATTAGAGAAAAATTTCAATGTACTAAGGGTTCAACAATTTACATAAGCTTATTATAAAAATCTTTTCTGAGAGTTGTGTATGCTCCATTACTGAATTTGGTGCAACAGTCAAGAAATAACCAAATAAAATAAATAAACCTCAAATATTTCCTTTTTACTATACCCACTTTCAAAAATTACAAAGCATAATTTTCTCTGATATCTCAAGCAAATTCATAAAACAGGTAGAAACTTAAAACATAATTGTAATATTACACAAGAAAATTAATTTTCCTTCAGTAACTTAGTCTGTTCCAAAGTATTTCTGTCCAAAATGTGTAGGTGCAACAGGATGAACTTCAGTAGTTAAAATTGTGATCTCTGGAAATTCTTGAATTATTGATTTGGCACCTTCAAAAAAAGAAAAGAAAATTGTAGTTATGGCAGGATTTTTGGGTAACATTAGTTGGGATTCAGGAAGTTATAGTTAGTTACTAGGTCTAATATGGATAGAGGGCAGAGAGAAATAACCTTTGGACACCTAATCTGATTTGGTTAATCTCTTTGTTAATATAACGTTTGCTATCTGACAAGCTATGACAGTAGTCAGACTATGTTCCTACTCGTTCACTAATAAATTCTTACAATCAAATTGTTTAATATCCAAGATTTATATATTCAGTTATAGGAACTATTTCCCTGAAGAACCTTTTTAAAATTTATTTTAAAGATGGTTGGAATAGAGAATACAGTACTTCTGGAAACAGGATCATACATAAGATGATGATTTCTCGCTGGAACACTGAAACAAGGGCAAAGACTTTGGAATGTCAAAACAAGCTACTTTTTATGAGTTATAACTCTAGATTTGGGAGGGGGCAGGAAAGGGACTGACTAGGACCCAAGTCAAACTAAACATAGCAAGGCTACCACAGAATAGTTCTAACATCATAGAATAGTATACTGTTCTAATGTATGCTATTAGAAATAACAAGGTTACCATTTCTACCCCCAAAGGCAGAAAACCCGGTAAGTATTTGGTTATATCAATGTTTTCAATGCCACCTATGTTATATATGAATGATAACCAAGCAAATCAACCTCTGTCAACATCAACATTTGAACTATGGGTAATTTTTTTATTATGAAAGAGCTAAATAATCAAACAAGCAAGGGGCCTCACTGGTGGCGCAGGGGTTAATGTGTCAGCAATATCAAGCTATTGCCAGCCACTGCAGCCTGAGTGATCCCCCCCGCCAGAGAGCTAACCCATATGGTGCAGCAGACCTCTCATGTCTCACCCACTGCGGCCCTCAACAGTGCATTTCAGTAGATCACCTGTTCTGCTGTTATTTTCTTATCCTGCTCTTTTACATTTACCAGGTTGATTTTCTGATATTATTAGTTTTCGTAAACATGATTTAATAGCTACATAATATTACATGCTTTGAATATACATTTATTCAATAATTTCCTTATTTTTAGTCATTTATTTTCCTTACATTAAATATAAGTATATAAGTATATAATGAGCATCCTAAAAGCTAAATTTCTACATACATCCATGATTTTTAAGATTTATGTATGTACGTATGTATGTATGTATGTATGTATGTATGTATTTAATTTTTTTTATAGAGGCATGTTTATTTATTTATTTATTTGTTTGTTTGTTTTGTTTATACAAGCACTGGGTACAGCCAGAAGTGCGGGAAGATGAGAGAATTCACCAGAGCCAGAGCGGGGAGCAGAGCAGAGGGGAGCAGCGGGCGGCAGGAGAGGTCTGCGCGCCATGCGGGACCCTCCTCAGGTGGCCGGGGAGCAGCCGGGATCGAACAGGCACAGCAGAGGCCGCGGGCAGCCTCGCAACCCAGAGCTCAACCGCTGCGCCACCGGGGAGGCCCTGTATGTATGTATTTATTTATTTATACAAGCACTGGGTATAGTCAGAAGCTCAGGAGGGCGAGAGAATTCACCAGAGCCAGAGTGGGGAGCAGAACAGGCAGATGGACCGAAGTACACTGCTGAGGGGAGCAGCGGGTGGCAGGAGAGGTCTGTGCGCCATGTGGGACCCTCGCTGGTGGCCAGGGATCGAACCAGCGCTGCAGAGGCTGCGGGCAGCTTCGCAGTCCAGTGCTCAACTGCTGCGCCACCAGGGGAAGTCCTCATTCATGATTTTTATATAGAATACTTTTACAATTGTTCTAGATTAGATGGCAAAAACTAGGGTCTTTTGCCAAATTGGGTATTCCTCCCTTGGGAAATGGAGAACACACACACACACACACACACAAACACACACACAGAGTCCTCTCCTACCATGTCCTTTTAGCAGAAGTCTAACTTAAAAAGTTGTCTGCTCTTTGCTTCATGCTACCAAGCTTACTTTAGTAAGGTCACAGGGTTAACTAAAACCACAAGTTTTGGTCTTTGGAAGCAGCAATCTGGCTCAGATGGGGAGAGAGAAGAAATAGTGACCTTTCAGCCACTTGCAGGCTCTACCCAGTAGGATCACTGGGGAAACAGATGCAACCCCCTTAATGGGATTAGTTAATACTTTTCCATTTGAATGAGTAAAATTAGAATGAGGTAAATATCATTAAGCTTACAGATGACAAACAGAAGTTATAATTACCAAAATAAGATTTATATTCAATGTGGAAGCAAATAAACTTTTCCTCATGATGAGAGGTTGGACAGTCCACATTTTCCCATCCCATGACCATCTGGAGCCCCAGTTACTGCCTCATGCTAAACTCACCATGTGGAGTGGAGAACAGACTAAGTAGAATGATAACACTGGGTTGAACTCCATGTTCTATAAGAACCTTTACAGCTTCAATCACAGTATTTCCTGTGCCTGAAATCAAATGACAACCAAATGCATTAGCAATGTTAACACTTATCTCAAAATGTCTTTGAAGTTTCTTTGAAGTAAGGGCAGTTTAATAATCTAACATACGACATCGCTAGGCAAAGCCTCATTTGTAGGTGATGTTCTTTACCAGTTATGTTCTTTTCAGTGATGGGCATGACACACAGACTTTTCAGCTTTTAAGTACGCAAGTCCTAAATTCATTATTTGAGATATCAAATTTAACACTCATCTGCTACCTACAATCCCGAGAGACCATGCTAAGGATAATCTAAGTAAGTTTAGGAAATAGAATAGGAAAAAAAATGTTATCTCCAAAGAGGATACATACTGGGGAAAATCATTGCTATATAGAAAGGATACACTTTGATACATTTTCTATGTTCAATGTATTTTGCCTCATTAGATCCTTTGTTCCAACGGGTTCTTTTCAAGACAGTAGCTCTTTGGAGCTAACTGTTTGATTAATGTATTTTCCCTACTCAGAGGATAAAAATCCCCAATGAACTTCCCAGAGCAATTCCAACCCCAACTGGGGGGAAAAAAAGCACATTTAGAAAGTCTTTGCCTTCTATAGAAGGCAGGCACTAAGTTGAATTTAAACCCTAATCAAAGGTTACAAATAAAACTCAGGTCACTCACTGAGAATTGGATACATCAGAAGGACTTTTCTTCTGTAAATATCTGGGGGGAACTTGGCATAATATACTTTGGCTCTTTGTGTCTCCTCATCGCTCTGAATCAAGATCTTTCCAATTCGTATGGATCGACAGCAGTCTCGTAAACCTTGTTCCATTGCCTCACCTTGAAGGAAATAAAAAAGGGAAAAAAGGTTAGGGGGGCATAGAATGAAAATCAAAGAATAGACCAAACCAGAGTTTGTAACTGTTATTAACACAAAAACAACATTGCTGAGACGGAAGCAATTTTTCTTTTTTTTTAAGATTTATTTTATTTATTTAGGCATACAAGAACTGGGGTGTAGGCCAGAGGTGTGGGGGGTGAGAGGATTCACCAGAGACAGAGTGGGGAGCAGAACAGAAAGATCTACTGAAATACAGTGCTGAGGGGAGCAGCAGGGGAGACAGGAGAGGTCTGCTGTGCCATGTGGGTCACCTCCCTGGCCGGGGATCAAACTCATGTCTCAGTGGCTGGCAATAGCTTGATAGCACTGAGACTTTAACCCCTGTGCCACTAGGGAGACCTGGAAGCAATTTTTCTTAAGATAACAGCTTTTACTTTTGATATACCCATATTTTATACTTAGTGTAGGTCAATAAACCTAAGTTAAGGCTGGTCAATGAAAGTAGGATAAGCTGGTTTTACTGCCTGCTTGCAAGTTTTAGAGCTGTCATGCTTCCATGATTATAAGAAATAGTTTTGTTAAGGTGCTCCCTGAGCTTTTCCAATATCAGGAACATTTTACTCCTATTATTTTAAGGAAGCCTTTAAACCACCTAAACTTGTTATTTTCATCAGAAAAAAAATAAAAGATTTATGAAAGAATGGAGAATATAAACCAAAGGATTTCTTATAGTTGAGGCCACATTGGGTGACAGCACACAGTCCCACAATGACTTCAACAACAGAGGCTTTGTTGGCAAACAGTAAAAAGGTAGCCCATATTGCTTCCTCTCTTCCAGAAAAACACAACGAATACCATCACCCCTTGGATTTCTGGACACAGAGCTATTTTTGAGTCTAAGTTCTGTTAAGTAAATATTTGTAAAAAAGTTGATCATTTTCATACCATCAAGATTTTAGGCCAGGGAGCTACCTACATGGTGCAGCAGAACTCTCCTGTCTGGCCCACTGCTCCCCTCAGCAGTGTATTTCAGTAGATCTGCCTGTTCTGTTCCCCACTCTGTCTGGTGAATCCTCTCACCCCCCCCCACCTCTGGCCTGTACCCCAGCTCTTATATGCATAAATAAAAAATCTTAAAAAAAATCATCTCTACTGTCTCTGTCACTTTTAAAAGGTGGGAAAATATTGTCCTGGGAGTCCTATCATTGCTTAAGAGCAGCCTTCTACAAAATAAGGAACTCATGCCATTTGCAGCAACGTGGATGGAGCTAGAAGGAATTATGCTCAGTGAAATAAGCAGAAGGAAAAGATAAATATTGGATGGTTTCACTTATAACAGGAATATAGGGGAACCAAATAAGACATCAGTGTAAAAAAAATAATAACAGTACAAAACACAACAAAGCATACTGCAGGGGAGGAGGAGGGAGAGGGGTGAGAGGGAGGGAGGGAGGGAGGGAGAAGCACAGGGGACTGTGGTGATGGTGCATGGGTGCCTTGGGGAAGGAAATTCTGTGGGGACTCAATCTGAGGAGGTGGGGGGAAGCAAATATTGTCGGAAAAATTTAAAAAATGATAAATGTTAAAATAAAAAAATAAAGTAAAATAAAACAAAAAATAAGGGACTTATACTCCTTTTTAACTTGAGGTATTTAATTATTCACAAATAGAACTTCACAGTCAGAGGGAAATGTTAATATATTCTTTTAAAAATAAATAAACCAGTACATATATCTGAAGAGGTGTGGAGCTATTCCCCTAAATCATATGCAGTGTTGTAAACCATTATTACCTTTATGAAATAAATCAAGCAAATATTAAAAAAAAATCCATGTTTCCAGAACAAGCAAGTGAGACTTACACCATACTTTGGATCTGGTACAAAAAATAATTAGCCAATTAATCTCTGTGTAAAGGTATGAGGTTTAATTATAGCACATAGTTTTGCTGCACAAAATTTAGTTTAGAAGGGGAATCAGTTGAACTCAAACACAATACAACACTTATAAGACCAGCAACCGCAAATATCTAGAGTTAATGAGTTAAATGCTTTTTCTTACATGATCAAATACTAGTAAAATATAAAACTAAAAATACAAAATAAGTTAACTCAGTCCAGTTACTGACAGGGTAGGACCGTTCCCTACAAAAGAAATTTCAAAAACACAACACATTTGTTTACAGTCTGGTACTCAAAGTTCTGAAGGCCTGATTTTGTGCCATATTCTGTCATTCTTTAAGTTGCCCTTTTCTCACCAAGACAGCATCAGTGCATCCTCCAATCCTCATACCCTCCCCTGAATCTCTTTGAAAGCTGGCTTGCCCATGAGGGCAGGCCACTAGAGATGATGCTCTGCAGTTAAAATTAGCCAAACTCAGCAACACACAGGCCATGACTCCAAGTTACCATAAGGATATATAACACAGGCGGCAAGATTTCAACTAAGCTGCAGTTATGACAGATGTGCCCTCCATTCTCCTGGAAAGCAGCAGCTGTTTTTATGCATGCAAAGAGACAAAACCACACACATGCAGACCTACCGCTTCTCATTATGCTGACCCCACAATTTCCCTTCTCAAATTTCACTCCTTCATATTTGTACCCTGTTGGGGAATAAAACCAAAAATTTATCTTCCATCATTGAAGCAACCTACTTATTTTATAAAGTGTCTATGGTTTAAAGCAGATGGGTACAGAGCAACCCTTGTCCAGACACACTGTAAAACATCTTAGGTTCCCTGTGAAAGTAATGAGAAGAGTCATGATTTTTCAGTTATTTCTTCATAGGCAACCTGTGGGGATAATTGAGAGTGGTGGACTTCATCAAGTGAGAACAGGACTTATGATAGCATGATATTCATGTACATGTTCCTCAAATTGAATTCAATTTGAATTCGTTGTACTCCAAGAATGCTATCAACCCCATCAATTCAAACTGGGACCCCACTGTGAACCACAGCAAAGAACCTCCTCATTCTGTCCTTTTTTATGATTCTCCATTCTGCCTTAAAAAGCAGAAGAGAGAAGCTGAAACCCTGTTCTCCTCCTGAATTTGTGTCAATTATTTGTGATGCAGTAAGCTGAGCCCCAATTTTCATGAAGTCAACCTTTGAGCAGAACAGCTTCCATTATTTACTAAAGAACCAAATCATAATTTCAAATCCCTGAAATAGGGACCTTTGTCTGCTTTCTCTTAGAAAGTAGAACAAAGCACCTTATCCAATTTTTACCGTTTTTTACTTTTTTTTTTCTTACTTCTCATCCTTTTACCTGAAGTTTCAATGCCAAACCAGCCTCACCCATTTGTTAACACCAGCAGCTTCCCCACACTGGTGAAGATAAACTGCCAGCAATTCTTAACTCTGGTCCCAATGGGCTGTCATCAAAGGCAACACCTGCATGCTGAAGAATATTTATTAACTTTTAACTTGAATTCACAAGCAAGCCATTAACAAAAAATCATCCACATAAATAACTTTAGTAAATGTCTCTGAGTTTAAGTCGTTTAAATCAATAGTTCTGCCTAGACTCCTCAATTGGCATACTGATTTACTCAGACTTTCCCTCTCCTCCCAATTTTATCTCAGAATTTTTATGAGAACATGAGAGTAACAACCGCCCTGGTTACCTGTTGGAGTGGTCACCGTGCATTCTTTATATGGTAGCTGATTCAATCCCTCTTCCACAACCAGTCTGATCTAAAGGAAGAATAAGTTGAAAATTATGATTTGGTTCCTTAGTAAATAATGGAATCTTCTATTAGCTTAATCTCAGGAGTGGAACATAGACAGCATATCAGTTATACACCAGGCAAGGATTTAGCTTATGGAAGCAGGAAGGTGGCCCTTATCATGTGTCAGATTGAGAGATCTAAATGCCAGCTGCTTGCTGCAAGTTATCCAACCTTGGCTAGGCATATGAATGCCACCAAAAAGCCCAGCTCAAGTATGCTTTCTAATTCTCATTCAGTTAATCCAGGCTATATATGACAGGTGCAAAACTATAGCAAGTGAGAGAAGAGTCATGGCAGACACCTTTGGGATATACTTCCGGTTACTATGTGAATAGTGCCCACCAGTAACTTCTCTGACATGTTCGGTACTTCTGAAATTAAATTGGATTCTACTTAAAGATTTGCCATAATGCAAGTAAAGCCAGAAAGTTCCAATAAGAAAATAAATAAGTGGATTTGGTTGAACCAATCTTCTGAGCTTAAAGTTTGATCCAATAGAATGCATTGGGGTTTCCTAGATAAAGAAAGGCTTCTAACAATCTTAAATGTATGGTACAGAAGTAAGAATCTATCAGAACTACTAGAAACAGCTTCCAAAGTCCAGATAGGATATACCCGTGAGTCTCCAGAGCCTAATACAATAAAAGTAGTGCTAAGTCTGTAATGCACATTTTCTTCAATCAATATTTCATTACTGATTGAGAACCAGAACAGCAGGGAGAAACATCAGGCCCCCATGCTCAGCTATCACAACACATCACCCTGCTGCCATTAAAAGGATCAAAGCTAAACGGGCCAGCGCTTGTTAGCCTGCAGCACTAGACAGGGTGCAGGAACCTCACGGATACTGTATGTGTTTGTGTGCACACTCACCTCTAGCCACTGCTGTCTATGGAGGTTAATGTTTCTTGAGAGCAAATTGCAAGGGAAGAAGAGGATCCTTTTCCTTGAAAAGCCTAGATCTACTAGCTAGTAACACTCCTTTAAACAATCTTACCTCCCACTCCATCTCCTATAACCCTGGGATAGAAATTTGTGTGTCCAAGCCTTAAAGAACATAGAACCCAAAGGCGGGGGGAGACTAAAACATAAAGAACTCAAACTTGAGTGCCAGGGAAGCCAACCCTGACAAATTCAGGACAGAATTACTGTCAACTCTAATGGGACCCTGTAGCTAGAGGAGACAGTGTACTAGAAATCCTCAAGACTAGAAACCTAACAGCTCCAGTCCCTGTCACAACAACAGACCCTCTACCTCCACTCCTCACTCAATATCAGGACCTTCAATGTCAATTGCAGAGAACAGAAAAGTCCAAATAACCATCGCCTCAGCTGAGTTAAGTCATGGGTCCTTATTATCTCATTTGACTTAAGATATAACACCTACTCTTTCAGGCAAGCATTCTATAATAATTATGAACTCAACTCTTACTTGCTACAGAAAAAGGGAACAAGCAAAACAAAAAAGAACAATTTTCTACTAGTGAACACCAAGACCTCTGTTTTCTCCACAGCAGTCACTGACACAGGGTCCTTCCTCATTGAACCTGTTCTTTGCTTTGATAACAGGATAAAGATCTAACTGTCACTCCAGGAATGTTAACTGCATTTGTCTTGATGCAATCCAATGTTATTAGCGCCCTTGGATACTTAAATACTTGTAAATAGAAGTGGCCACTGAATCAAGAATATTTAAAACCAAAAGAACAGGAGTTGTCTATACGCTTTTGAAATAAAGATTTCCCCCAGAGAAAATCTAAGTGAAAAATGTCATGCCTTTTTTGCCCTCCACCCCCAGATTCCCTTTAATAATTGTAAGGTCAGGAATGGACACGGTACAGGCTTTCTATGATCCAGCAGACCGGGTAAAGGAGGAGTCAGAGTCCTAGAGCCCTCAGTGGATTTTCAGGCTTTTATTGGGGTTCACCAGGCATATGGCAGGCTGGGGGGCCGGGAGGCTGGCAGGCCTCCCAGCCCCCAGCAAGTCTTCACTCCGGGTTCTCCGGCCTTCTCTCGGCTTCTGCTTCTCTTGCTTCTCTCTTGGCTTCTGTTCCGTCTTGACTTCTGCTCGGCTTCTTGGCTTCTACTGGCGTCTCCATGATGCCGCCCTTAAAAGCCCAGTCTTAGCCCAGGTGAATCCCATCTACCTATGCCCACACCCTATTCCAGGTGCCCGCCATCATGCATGTATTCAGGACCGCAAGGATCCATCATCTATCCTGATGGCGAGAGGGTGGAAAAGCCTGACATTTTTCCTTACCCTACCATAATCTATCTTCAACTGTCTGATGATACCTGGTAGGTTAATAAGCCTTTTCCTTTTCTTTCCCAACTAAATACTGACAACAGGGACCACGTCTATATTACTTACTGCTATTTCTTCTAGCACAGTGCCTGACTCACATGAATTCAGTATATGTTTCTGGAATGGAACAACACTAATAACCATAGACAGCAGAAAAGGTGTCAACCTCATTTCAAACACTGAGCACAGGTAGATACAAACACCAGAAGGAAACTGTAAAGGGGTCAGGACTGACCACAGTGCAGGTTTTCTGATCCCATGCAGACCGGGTAAATGAGGAGTCAGAGTCCTCAGTAGTTTTTTGCAGGTTTTTTATTTGGGGTTCACCAGGCATATGGCAGGCAGGGGTGCTGGCTGGGGGGCTGGGAGGCTGGCAGGCCTCCCAGCCCCCAGCAAGTCTTCACTCTATCTGAGCTCTCTGGAGTTTGTTCTGCTGCTTCTCGGCTTCGGCTTCGGCTTCGGCTTCGGCTTCGGCTTCGGCTTCGGCTTCGGCTTCGGCTTCAGCTTCGGCTTCAGCTTCGGCTTCGGCTTCGGCTGCTGCTGCTGCTCCTGCTCCTGCTCCTGCTCCTGCAGCTGCTGCTAGTGCTGCTGGCGTCCCCCCGTGACGCCGCCCTTAAAAAGCACAGTCTTAGCTCAGCTGAATCCCATCTACCTATGCCCACACCCTATTCCAGGTGCCCGCCATCAGGCATGCATTCAGGACAAGGATCCATCATCTATCCTGATGACGGAAGGGCAGAAAAGCCTGATATTTTCTTTACCCTACAGAAACACAGTGACAACCCAATCTGGCTTGCCATCCTCTCTGGATTACATTAGCTAAATAGAGTTGGGCTTGGTCAGTCCTTACCAGAAGTCCCTGAGGACTGCGTAAACCATTCAATTCAGTATTCCACATGCAAGGATAGGATAGAAAAGAAAAGGCAAAATAAACACACCTCCCCCTACCCATGTAAACTACAAGAGAGGTACTAGTTTTTGTGTACTAAGTAAATACTGCTACTACATCTTTTGTTTTCTTTAATGGACTTCACTTCACTGTCCTATGATCAGGCATTTAAGGGTTGCTCAGTATTAGGTTACCAAGATCCATTTGAGAGGTAGTGCTTGCTCAGAGCGAAGCAGGATGAGTTCATGGGGTAATGGTTTGAGGTGACAGGGATTGAAACAGAGCTTTAATACAACAGCAGAAACAACACTTCAGAAGCCTAGAAAGAGGATGGTTTCTTAGTCAATCTCTCCTCCCCTACCCCATCCCTGCCATCCAGAATGCTATAGAACAAAAACAGTTCTTTTGCCTACTATGATTATATCATTAGGAACAATGAAATGGAAAGCCTTCACCTACCAAACGATCCGCAGAAAACATGAAGTCCCCTCTACTGGCTGTCCTAAAAAAAAAAAAGTAGTAAAATTTTTAGTCTAGATTAGAGCCTTAAGGTAAAATATTTCTTAATACATATAGCAACACTGATATTAAGACCTACGACACAGGTTTAAATGTTGACATGTAAGACTATTACTGAGACTAGATTTTTTTCACTAGGCTACAATGTAAATATATTATTGAACAGACTTACTTGACATAAACATTAGAAATAGGAAGTGAAAAGGTCAGGCAGTCTGCCTCTGAGCTGCCCAAGTATATATAACCCAACCAGGAGGCGAAGAAAGCTACCCCTGGAAGATGGCAGCAAACCCACAGCTCAAGTTAAGACAAAACTTTCCAAGGAGAAAACCTAGATCTCTTCATCCCTCCCCCGCCCATATGATCTAAAACTCATATTACCAAGATAAATAACCCATCTATTTGTCTCTGATCCTTTTTGGACTTAGAATGGTACAAAACAAATAAATGTTCTACGTTTGCAACTGCTTTCAATAACATGTAACCTAATTTCCAAGACCTCTTTCTCAAAGTATTGATAATTTGTTCCTTTTGCTGTTTTTCAACTAATACTTTACTCCCTAGATTGCGCTGCTATTTCCCTATATATTTCTTTTCTGCCCAATACGTTCATATCCTAAGGAACCCAAGTAATAATCATCCGGGGTTTCACTTACCCACAAGCTGTTAGCTAGCCAAAAAGGGAATGTTAAAAGGCTGACATTTTTTTTCTAAAAATCTAGCATTATTCCTCCTTCTCCCATATTAAATGATTTGAATAACAGATTGATTTAAAATTTATGTACTTAGGACTTCCCTGGTGGTGCAGGGGATAAATTCTCAGCACTATCAAGCTATTCCCAGCCACAGCAGCATGAGTTCACGACGCAAGCAGATCTCTCCTGCACAGCCCACTGCTCCCCTCAGCAGTGTATTTCAGTAGATCCACCTGTTCTGCTCCCCGCTGTCTCTGGTGAATCCTCTCACCCCCGGCACCTCTGGCCTAGACCCCAGTTCTTGTATGCATAAATAAAAATAAATCTTTAATAAAATGTATGTACTTAAAAACCTCCAACTGCGTATCCATAGCATTCTCAAAATATTCCCCAACACAGCATCTAATGACATACGCAGGCATACATTATCTCAGTATACCATTATTCACAGCTTTTTTCCCCCCCAAGCTGCATTTACTCCCTTACAGGGAAAAGCAATGAAATATCCCTGACACAAATAGCATTAGGTTTCTTAAACAAAAGTCTATCATATTACAGATAATAATTCTCTAAAATGTGGACCTTAATTGAGCAATAGCGAGAATACAGGTCTGGTTTCTTTATGTATAAATATTCCCTACACTCAGAAATCTCTATCAACACATACTCACACAGAGAGCCCATTTAAAACAGCCTCTGTTTTATATACTGTGGTTTTCAAATAAAATTACACCATTACAGTAGCACCTTTCATTCCTAAAATTAATCTTTACAACATGCTTGTCAAGGAAGTAAAAGGCAGTGAACTACAAAAAATGCTGAAGCCTACTGCCCTGTTAGCTAGACCTACACAAATTTGTCTAAGAGGTTGGCAGACAGTTTTCCAAGAGGGAAGAAAAAACTCCAGATTTGTCTTAAAGAAATATCCAGTAATACATCTTGGGGACCTACCTGAAATCTTTGGTTTTGATTTCTAAAAAGTTACATTAGGATAAGTGATCAGGGTTGCCCACATCTGTTATTTTTATTATGGACACCTTAACACCTTTTACATTTTCACAAAAAATATCAGCCTCAACTGTTAACTTTTGCTTGATAAGCATCTTCTCTACATTCCAAAAAGGTGTACATTGAGAGTTTAACAGTAACTGTCATCTCTTGATAGTGATTTGACTTCCAATTAAAGCATTAAAATAAAGATGCTCCAAGTCATCCCACTACAAACTAATTACTAACTTATTACCTGCTGTTTTAAACAGATTGTAGACCCAAGCTGTTTACTTTAAATCAATTTAGAAATTGAAGTACAGCTAGAATACAACAACTTGACTGCATTTTTAAAAAACCCATAGTGGTCTTCAATATCCACATTAACATTGTTAATACTAGGGTTTCATAAAGCAGACATTTACTTCTTGGATCGATCAAGTCGTACATATTCTCTGAGCCACTACAGGCTCAACACTGGACTAAAATGTTTGCTAATAAAAATGTTTAATATAAACCCGAACCCAGGTTTTATTAACCCTACCACTTTGTTTCAAATCTTAACTCGATTCACTTTTGCCCCCAAACCATTTTTTTTATTCTCCTACTGAAAGCACAGCTTTGAAAGACATTTTAATCATCTGTTTGATAACAGTCGAATAAAATCTAATGCAAAATTACCACGAAGCAACACACTGACACACATCACAGAATATTCTAAAATATATTCAAATCATCAAATATCAAATATTTAAACAGTGATATCCAGGCACTCAAAATTCAGAGCATGGAAATCTAATTAATGCTAGACTGAATGTCTTTAAACTGTACAAACCTCAGAGAAGATGACCAGTGCAGACTTAACCAGATCTAAGAATGCTTTTCTTGACATTTCCCTCAGTAAATGTGTAATGCATCTATAGCAATAAAATGGAAGCTAAAGGCAGTCATTTTAAAGAGATCTTCACTTGAAAAAAAAGAATGAAAATCATATCGAAAGTAAAATTCTCTTTTTAATGTATACTCAGTAAATCTGATTTTCCCTTTTAAGACTATCTATAAAGCACTGTAAAATTTCCAGAGAGGCTGCAGCAATTTATGTATACTTAAAAAACATGTATATATCATAGCAAAACCAAACCAAGATGAAACCATTTGAATCTCAACAACCATTCTCTCCAAAGATTATTAAGTACTTATTCACAAGCTATAGGACTATGAAAGAATGTTTTTATAATATTTAAAATTAAGACTTCAAGTAGAGATCCTCTCTCCTCTTCTTACTAGGCCTCATTACTACTACCACCACCACCACTACTACTACTACTACTAAACAGAGTCTTTAGGGGGTTAAGTTATTTCCTGGGACAATTATAACTTCAATTTCTAGAGCAGAAATTAACATTTGGTCACTCCATATTACTTCTCTCTATTCAGAATAAACTTAACAACCCTCTTTTTTTAGGACAACCCTCTTTTTTTAAAATCACACACGTAGATACAGATATCGCCAAAGTGCACAAAGATTTATTTATAAAGCTTTTCTGAAAAGGTCATAGTAGGCACCTATATTATATCAATACATATTTTACTCCTTTTTTCCTACAGATCACCATTTATTAAAAGCTTCCTTGGTGTCAAGTATTAGGTGGTTTTGGTGCATTATCTCCTCTAACTCTCACACAGGCATAAGAGGTAGATTGTATTACTAAGACCACTCAGTGATGAAAATAAGATCACAGAGGTGAAGAATTTCAAGGTTCTTCCCAGCCAGAAGCTCTCTAATTCCATGTCGCTGAGTAAAGCCATCATTTATATTTTGCTCTAACAAGGGAAAGCCTATTGATAAGAAACCAGTTTTTAGATATATTTTAATGCTGCTTCTCTCTCTGTGAATGAGACTGGCATGTATATACAGTACATACAATGAAATAAAGAACCTGGCAGGTAAATAAACATTATTAAAATGTTTCTGAAGAGAGAGGCATTATTATAACATGTCTTATAAAGACTATGTATTAAGATTAACACATACAAAAACACACCCTTTCCAAAATGATAATATCAAAACATGCAAAGAGCTGATGAGACTCAAGAACAACAAAGAAAATAATCCTGTCAAAAAATGGGCAGAAGAGCTAAAAGGAAACTTCTCTGAAGAGGAAATGCAAATGGCCAACAGGCATATGAAAAAATAGTCAACATCACTTGGAATCAGGGAAATGCAAATCAAAACTACCATGAGATACCAGTGAGAATGGCACATATTAAAAAAACTAGCAACAACAAATGTTGGCGAGGATGTGGAGAAAAAGGAACTCTCCTGCACTGTTGGTGGGAGTGCAAACTGGTCCAACCACTATGGAGAGCTGTGTGGAGATTTCTGGACCTACTAATCATAGAGCTTCCATATGATCCAGCAATTCCTCTCCTAGGTATTTACCGAAAAGACACAGAAACACCAATTCCAAAGAGCACCTGCACCCTTATGTTTATAGCAGCACTGTTTACAATAGCTAAGCTTTGGAAACAACCCAAATGCCCAAAAATAGATGACTGGATCAAAAAGATGTGGTACATATACACCATGGAATATTACTCAGCATTCAAAAAAGATAAACACATGCAATTTGCAGCAACATGGATGGCGCTGGAAGGGATCATGCTCAGCGAAATAAGCCAGAAAGAAAAAGAAAAATACCGGATGGTCTCACTCATAGCAGGAATCTAGAAAACTTAAATAAGGGACCAGGAAAATGAATAACTATAAGAAAGTGAAAATCAAAATCAACAAAAAACTATGAACCAGAGACACTCTATGGGGGGTGGGGGGCGGGGATGGGAGGGATTGGGGTCAAAATAAGGGGGTTGCAATTGTATGGGGAATATAAAAATAAAATTTATTAAAAAAATAAAATAAAACACAAATTCAAAGATTCAAAAAAAAAAATCTGAGGTTAGGCTCATAACCTAATAGAATTTAATTTTTTTCAAATCCCAGTAGCATTTAGTGAGTAATAATTCTAAAAATGAGGATTATATACAAAAATTATTTTCAGCATTTGAGGTGGGAGAAGTTAGGATAGGGAATAGAATTGTCAGATGTAGCAAACACAAATACAGAATGCCCTCTGAAATTTATATTTCAGAAGCATATCCCACAAAGTACTTAGGATATACTTACACCAAAAGGGTATTCATCATTTATTTATCTGAATTCAAACTTAACTGGGTGTCCCATACTTTACTGGCAACCTAAGTTCAAGAGGAAGAATAAAAATGGACTCAAATTCAGCTCTAATATACTTTGATTTGTTTTTGTTTTTTAAGCAATAGGCTAAAGGGAAGTGAAACATTAAAGTTTGCCTGATAGGTTTAAACCAAGGGAATGTTTCATTTAAAGCCAATATTTAGTGAAAGTTCTGAAAACAAACTTTACTTCAAAGCTACCTTGTTATTATGTAATCACTAAAACAAAACAAAAAAATGGTTACATGGGTTGTCTGGTATACAAGTGATTTATACATGATTTCCCCCTCCTTTCACCCTCATAAACAGCCCCCCCCCATGAAGTACGTGGAACAAACCCAATCTGATGCAAAAGCTTTTTAAAAAATGAAAATTGCGGGCTTCCCTGGTGGCGCAGGGGTTAAAGAAGCTGTTCTATCATGTAACTGCCAGCCACTACAGCAGGAGTTCAATCCCCGGCCAGGAAGCTGATCCACAGACCTCTCCTGTCTCACCCGCTGCTCCCCTCAGCAATGTATTTCAGTACATCTGCCTCCCCACTCTGTCTCTGGTGAATCCTCTCACCCCCTGCTTCCCACACCTCTGGCCTACACCCCAGCTCTTGTATGCTCTTCCCTACCAAAGGTACCTAAGACTTGTGGAAAGCTTTTAGACCAAGCCTGTCTAGCTGTGCATCCGCCCATGAGGGGATAGGTAATTTTGGGAGTTTTATTGGAAAAGTGTTATTTGAAGTTCTCTCTCTCTCTCTCTCTCTCTCTCTTTTTCTCACTCCACACCAATTTTAAAAAACCCTACCAACTAAGTGCCTACTTCCTTTATCTTTGTGTTCACAAAAGGCTGGATCCCTTTTAGAGCATGTACCCATAAACAGTTTGCAGTCCTGGGTACCCTTCAGTTACATGCCAACAGCACCTTCTTAAAAAGCTTATAAAGTAGAATACCATCAATTATTTGCCTCAAAGTAGAGCTCAATATAAATTCAAAATCTGGTAGAAAAAGAAAAATTTCCCTTAGAACCCAGACCTCAGTAACTCAGTTTATTTATTTAATTATGACTTCAATATTAAGTGCCTATGTGCCAGGTCCTATGCCAGACCAAACCGTCTTTGGCCATTCCCAATAAATATCACATACTTATATGTGTGCGTGTGTTACATGTAGCTTAAAGAGGCAACTTTCTCCCTCCTAATCCAAAGGTGAGTTAGAAAATTCATATGGAAAACAAAAAAAAAAAATCCATGTTTTAAACAAATTGCAGGTCAAAGTTTTTTATGTGGCAGACATTTTTTTGACTTTGTACAATTTGGGTTAGCAATTTGGTCAGCAATCTGGACTCTGATTTTGTGTAATTTGAAGGGAAAATTTCCAAGATCCCTCCAATCTCAGAGTGATGTGAGCTCAGGCTCTCTAGACTGGTTCTGTTTAGTGTGAGGAATGCCTGACTCAGCCTGTTTTCCAAGTCTGAAGCCCCAAAAATCACCAAAGGAGGGAGAACACCATTCTCCCATTGGCCTGGCCTGAGCATGCATAGTCATCTATGGTGCATACAAAGCTACAGGTGCTCAAGACTACTCAGACAACCTCTAAGAATGAGGGCCGAAAACTTGTATTTAAGCAAACCAAAAAAGCCTCCTTGAGCAATTCAGATGCACAGCTTTAATTAAGAACATTAAATTACGTAGTCAGATGACTCAAATTACAATAGGTTGCACTCACATTAGGGATGCACAGAATGTTCGTTCATCCTGAGATTGTCTCCCTTCCAGGTGACTAAAAAGTCACAAACTGAACGCACTCCTTCTTCGGTGCTATTTCACATACCTAGAGACTCTAAATTGCTCGACTTTCATCCAAACTGCCTGCTAAAGCCATGGCAAAGCAGGAAACATTGAGGAGCTCATGAAACAGCATTAACTTTTCAGGAAACAAAAGAAAACAAACTCCCACTTATAGCTCGGGAGGAGAAATGATCTCTTAAATACACTGCCTAAAATATAAGTCCATGAACTATGTTCAAGGGAAAAGTGCATTACACTCAGATTTTGCTGGGTTTAATATTTAGAAGAATCAGGAAGGGAAGAATTTGTGGCTAAATCCATTATAACAACAAACATTGGAAATGAAGGAGTCATTTCTCAAGTTCACCTGTGACTCACATCTGACTGAGAAAATTATCTGATCACTTGGTATTTTAGATTAGTGCACTCTCAGAAAGAAAACTGTTTGCCTGAAATTCAATAATACAACCACCAACCTATTATGTTGCAAATACTTCACATTATTTGAAAAGACATTTTCAATCAGTGCAAACAATGTTCTCAATCTTTCCTGCTTTATATATTTACTACAATATGCAGTCCTGTTGGCTCAACCCATTTCCCATGCCAAAGTCAATTCAGAAAGCAAACCCTTACAAGATACATGCTAAGGACCAGGAATAATAAAATGTGCAATATGCACTCCAATGGCCTGTATCACAGCTCCATAGTGCACATACATGTCATATCAACTTAGAAAAGAGCATAAGCCCCACAGAAGACAGGACATCATAACTGATGGCATATTCCATAACTAGACCTACATAAATATAGCTCCTCTTACCACAGGCACCCTTACCACCAGTACCCTCAAGGGGATGAAACAGGTCTTGTTTGTATGAGGGGGATGACAATTTTTGAAGATAAAAGAACACAGAAGCCTCTGTTAATAGATAACAAAAGCAAAAGCAAGAAACAATCTCTGGCCTGAATAACTAAGCATCAATTAGTTATCAAAAATTGTGTGGTATTTTCTATACTATATCAGAGCAGGATAAAAATTACCTGACATCTCTTATTGTTGTTCTCTAAAATAAGAATGTGAGTTGTATTTACACTTCAATTCCAGTTACTAAAAGCTCAAAAAAACAGCATTTGTGGATGCAATCAGAACCATGCACAAATACAAACATAAAGACTTGAAATTCCTTTAATAATCACAGCTCTTCACTGTTTACAACAAATGTTTACAGACAGTTGCTTGTTTTAACCTCTCAGGAGCTCTGTAAGATATTATCAATACTCTCATTTTACAAATGATCAAGTTGAAGCACAGAGATGCTAAAGATCTTGCCTCAGCTTACCCTAGATCCTGTTTTGTTCCAAACTGAGAAAGAAAAAATTCACATACACCCAGGTTGGCAATATAATCCAGGCTTTTCTGAGTAAATGCAGTTAAATCAGGTATTGTCACATCTTTTGTGACTAATCCCTTTCATTTAGCATAATATTTTCAAGGTTCATACATTTCATATCAATACACCATTCCTCTTTGGCTGAGTGATATTCCACTGTACAGATATACCACATTTTGTTTACCCATTCGCCAGGTAATGGACATTTGGGTGGATTCCACTTTGGCTACTGATCAAAGCTGTATGTTAAGATTGTGTAGTAATATACAGGTGCATATGGCGGAGACAAAAACTGGAGGCAGGGAAACAAATCAGGCTGGAGTCTGACTTAGGGACTAGCAACCTGACTTAGCAGCAATTCTAAAAAATCAAGACACCCACTGAAAAACGGGTGTTTTTACAGAGTAGCAACTAATTTAAAATGTGGTGAGCAAAGAAACCAGTAGTATGATCAGTCAGGCCTGAACCAGGAAAGGACCCTTGCCTTAGAAGCCACTATACGACAGTCTGCAAGGCCATGGTGATAGGCTGCTTAATGCATATTTCTGTTCCTTCAGAGGATGCTGATAACATCAGTTCCTGACAAACACTGGCAGATCCTTTTAATAGATAACACAAAAAGGGGCAACTATTCCAGAAATATTATCAAAAATCTTGTGATCAACCACCCATATTCTCCCTGGAGCACCCAGAACCTGAGAGTGAAAAAACTCTCCCTACTCCTGCATGTTCCCACATCCTTTCTTTCCTATATAATCTTCCCTCACTTGCCTCTGGGGAGGCAGCCATTTCTGAGCTCTGACTCTGCTGTTCCGACATGCCACCACTTGCTAATAAAACACTACATGTGTGGAAACAACCTCGTGGTTCAGTCCCATTTTCTGAGCATAAGCCCACATGTCTGTAACAGCTGTAGTTCATCAATGGTAAGTATGTCCTTTGAGAAAGCCTATCTACAACATAGGTTTAGAGATCTGAAGATAGCATTTCAAATGAAGTTTTATCTACATTGGCTTGTGGGATTACTAGGAGAACCAAGATTCTTTTAGGTTCCCTTGACTCCATTAACTTTATCCGAAACACTTGCTGTTCTATTAAGTTTATAGTAAAACAATCTTGATAAGAGCTGAATTAGAAAGTTTCACGTGATCAAGTAAACCCGAACTCTGAGGTTAAAAGACCTTAGACAAAATTACATATTTGTAGTAGCAAAACTAAAGGGTTGGAGAGCCCGTTGAGCACAACCTTTCCTTGAAATTACTTTATTTCTATTTGTGAGCCTGAGCATAATCTTGGGTAGTAACCATTTCTAAGTGGCAGATTTACCATGTGGCCGGACAACTGGCAGGTAGCACAAGCGCTTTTACCTTTCCGGGAAGGCTGCGTCTTTGTGTCACCCGGAAAAGACAAAGAGGAAGCCGAAGGCTCTCTAAAAGGTCTCCTCCCAACACAAAGCAACGTTAAATGCGGATTAAGGAAGAGAGTGTGGGCCCCGTGTCACGTGACACTCCCGTTTAAAAATAATAAAAAACCTTCAATCTCCATTCACCAAGTTTCCCAAGACGCCATCCCTTCAGCCCTCTTACGTCCAATCCCCGCCCACCTCCAGAGAGACCCTCCGAGGCCTCCCTTTCCCCTTCCTCTCGCGGCTCACTTGTCCCGGATGATGGTCTGCAGCTCCCGGATCTGATCATTCATAGGGAGCAATTTAAGCTGCGCCCCGATCTGCTGGGAGACGTCGCAGTCCCCTGGGGGGAGTCACTGGCTGGTGCGTCATCGTTGCCACTGTAGCCGTTGTTATCTGAGTTGAGGGTGGCACCGCCGCAGGCCAGAGGGTCCCGCTCGGCCTCTACCGAAGAATGGGTGTGCCCTGTGAGAAAAGTCAATTTAGCAGTGGAGGCGCTGTTTGCCCCGGCATGGTCTGGAATCAGGTCGCCAGGTCGTGGCAGCTCGGAGCTTGGGGTAGAGACTGAATTTACTTGCTGGTTGTGACAGGGCATGGAGTCCGAACACCGTAACTCCGTGGCCATACACCGGGCCTGAGTTGTCCCCAAACTACCGACCCCTGAAGATAAAGGAGAGTAGGGGCCTTTTCTCACGTGTTCTCCCGGCCGGTCCCACTTCCTGCAGCTCTCTCTCACTTCCCCCAGCTGCCCTCTCACCCCTAGGCCTCCGCCGGTTCCCTTTTGCAAGCCACGTCCCAGCCCCGCCCGCGCCAGACGTCCTCCCTGCCCGGACGCTCGATTGGCTTCTCTATCTGCCACTCAGCAGCGCACCGCTCGTTAACCCTTTGAGTCATTCCTGTTACGTGGGTTCCCACACCTAGCGAGGCCACGGGTGTGGTGTTGCGGGTCTCCAGGAGCCCCTAGGGATTCTGCATGCAGAGCTTTCGGTGAGTGGTAGAGGCAGGAAGAACTGCGGGTGGGAGGGATGAAATGATGGCACACACGAACACCGTGCTTTCTGACTTTGTATCTTGGTGGAGAGACTACTTCAGTACCAGTATCTTCATTGAGCTAGTCTGTGTAACCAAAAGAGGAAGTTAAAAAATGCCTAGCAGGATGCTAAGAGCCGGCTTTCTACTAAACTGTTGTACAAACTGAAGCTTCCCAAGTGGATTTGACCGCTAGCGCTTTCCTTAATGGCTGAGCTGTGCACTCTACGGTTGCCATGGGGATTCTGACAGCATTTCAGATCCTCTGCCTCTTGGTTTCTTTTAAATACTTGGAAAGACGCTTTTTGTTTGTGTGATTTTAGTGTTGTAGACTTGCGGTAAGAGTGTCTTTAGGGCAGTACTTTTCAACAACGGTGTGTATCAGAACAATTGCAGAGCTTGTTAAAATGCAGCTTCCAATGGCCTACTTTGGAGGATTCTGATTCAGTAGCGCTGAGATGGGATCCAGGACTCTTATTTTTAACAAATAACCCAGCAATTTTGATTTTTATAAAAAAAACTTCTTTTTGAGAATAGTGGCTTACTGGCTGCTCCTCCTCCTCCTCTTCCTCCTCCTCCTCCTCCTCTTCCCTGAAAACCTGAAACTTGCTAATTCTACCCAAAACTTATTGAGCAACATTTAACACAAGTCCTTTCCCCCCTCGCTGAACTTGATTTTTCTTATTTATAAGTGAGATGCATTAACTGCTTGACCACTAAATGCTTTTTTCAATTCTGACATTCTGTAGTTCTATTTTGCCTTCCAAAAAACCAATTCTTAAAAGTTAAAATTCATTGTTCCACACAGACACATAACCAACACAAACAGAGATTGAGAGGAATATGATTAGTAGATAACGGGAAATATCCAGGCTTTTAGTGGGATATGAGCCTTGATTTGGCTTGTTTTCCATTTTTTGTTTCTGTTTGTTGTTTTGATTTTGGTATTAATGGCATTTTTCTCCTTTCCTCTCCTATTTTCTCTGCTTTGTGTTTGGCTCTCTAGGTCAGAACACTGTTAGCTGTAACTACAGAGAATTTAAATTCAATTGGATGATAAGAATTGCAGCCTAAAATTGCAGTCCCATTCACTTTTGAAAGACTATGTATCACCTAGCGAAGAATGCAATTCAAAGGGACTCTGAGTTTAAAGGCTGAATCTGCTAACTTGAGTGGGCAGGAACAATTAAATGGCTACTTTGCCAAAGAATAATCTAAAGGCAATACTATTGTGTCATTATCAGTAATGCAGTAATGGATTTAAAATGGTATTGTGAGACAGCCCACACAGTGCCTTTGTTCTCAATGCCACAGAACATGAATTAGTGCAGCTGCCAGTGTATTTTGTGTTTTCACCTTTAATAGGAAACACTCACGCATACACTTACCTATATTAACTAGTAACTATTAACAAATCTATTTTCTAGTCGTTTTACTTATTTGAAGTGTTATTAAAGCAAAATTCACTAATGATTAATCATGACACACCTCAAATTTGTTATTTTGAAAGACTAAATGGAAGTATTTATTTTTTAAAAAATCATAAATTGTAATCAGTTATTTTTCTGTTTTTCAAACTGATTTAATTCACTATGTGATTCCAAGATACAGGATTACACCTCTTCAGATATGTCACTGCACCGCACCCACCACTAAGGCCTCAATGTCCTCCACCACAGTCCATTGGGCCCCCTCACAACCTGTTCTCAATTTTCTCCCTCTTGCTTTGGTGGCCTCAATTCTCTAGTTGGTCTTCCAGGGTTTGTTATTGATTTGCTTTTGTCTGACCCTTTGTTTTGCTTCTCAATATTCCATTATAAGTGACACCATCCAATATTTTCTCCTCCTGATTTATCTTGCTTACCATTTTCACCTTCAGTTCCATCTATGTTGTTGCAAATGGCAAGAGTTCATCATTGCACATTTAAAAATTGAACAATGTTACATTATAACATTATATAATTTTAGGTGTACATTATTGAAAATTGACATGAAAACACCTCAAATTTGATGGTGTATAATTTATAAAGAACTTCTATACATTTTCTCAATCTCAAAACAAAGTTTGAGGATTACCATTCCTTGTTAACAGTTGATATAACTGTAATTCTTTTTCTTAAAGTGACTTGTTCAAAGTCACACATCCACAGAGGAGTGGAGAAAGGACAAAATCTCCAGTCCTTTGACTTTGAATCCAGTCTTCTTTACACATGCCTACAAATTCATTTAATTAACAAGTACTGACTGAGCCCTTACTATTTGCCAGGCATGTTGCTAGGTGCTAGACCATATGCAAAGAAAATGAATGAAGTTCTTGAAATTCTCCATGATTGTAGAGATCATGGATACATGAATAGCATGACTCTTTGAAAACCAAAGGATAATGTTATATAGCATGGAAATTTACATCACAGATACTAGCATGTCACAGAATAGATAAATTTGAAGTTAGTTCTCTTCCTACTTTTTGATGGAGGTACAAAATCAACTAAAATTAAAAGCTGGAAGATCCTTCTGTAATAACTGACAGGATTGTAAACTTTACTTGAAATTTTGAGCTCTAAATTTCAGATGATCCCTAAAAATTATGGGAAGCAAAAAACCAATTGCATTAACTGAGAAAGCCTTCACATGCCTTTACATAGTGCCTTTATAAGACATTTTTATATGGGTTATCTCATTCAATATTGTGGGATTGACAATAATGTATGTACACTTAAGACTTGTTAGGAGGACTGATTTCATGTTAAATGTTCTTATCACAACAAGATTTTTCAAAAAATCCGAGGTGTTATGGTTTCTATCTTCTGACCGTTGGTCAGTCTCTTACTTCTTCCTGCCTAAAGCTCAACAAAACAAAAAACATATTTCAAAACCAAGGTGAAAGAGAGTATAATTCTGCCAAAACCTCCTACAGAGTTAATTGTACAAAGAGTGATACAAGGAATAAGTGAAATAAGCCATTTGAACATGGTGTGTGGGAATGGGAGAGGATAAAATCTAAAGGAAGGAAAATGTCAGAAGCACCTGATATACAACTCCAAGGGGCAGGCCACATCTTTTAACAGCGACATATGAGGATACAAAGTACCAACACCCTCACTTCGATTTGAAACCTCTGTAAGGTTATTCCAGCCTTAGAGTGCTGAGTTCCCTGCTGCAACTTCTTCCTGTGAATTCCTTAGTAAACTTTTGAAAAACGTCTAGCCTATGACAGAAAGAAATATAATTCCTAATAACCCCTACTATCAAAATACCTGTGTGACCTGGAAACAACCCAAATGCCCAAAAATAGATGACTGGATCAAGAAGATGTGGTATATATACACAATGGAATACTATTCAGCAATCAAAAAGATAAACTCATGCCACTAGCAGCAACATGGATGGAGCTAGATGGAATTATGCTCAGTGAAGTAAGTCAGAAGAAAAAGAAAAATATCAGATAGTTTCACATAGGAGGAATAGAGGGAACCAAATAAGACATCAGGGGAAAAATAATAACAATACAAAACAACAAAAACAAACAGATAATTATAAACCAGAGACATCCTGCAGGGGAGAAGGCAGGAGAGGGATCAGAGGAAGGGAGGGAGAAGCACAGGAGACTGTGATGATGGTCCACAGGTGCATTGGTAAAGGAAATTCGATGGGGACTACACTTGAGGGGGGAAAAGTAAATATTGTTTAAAAATGAACAATGATGTAAAATATATATAAATAAATAAAAACAAAACAAAATGCATGTGTGAATTTGATGATTCAAACTGTCAAAAAAATCAAAAGAGGCAACTGCTGCTGTTGATTAAGCTCCTACTTTACAAATAGCAGTATCAGACCTAGTTATCAGTGAATTGGGTTGAAAAGATTAATTAAATGTGTTCTGGCTTTGATTTGTTAAAAGGAATTTAGAAGACTATGAGTTAATATGTACCTAATTGCACAAATCCCAACACATTCCTTAATTATTGCTAAGATGAAACACTCCTACCATCTATTATATTGCATTTGGCTTCTGTTACAATATATCTGCTGTTCTTAGAGGTTCTCTGCAACAGAGCCCCCTACAAGAAAGAATCTAGCATCTACTATGAAAGAGCATCAGAGTAAGAGACAAGAAGCAAGGATTCCATGTTTTGCAAATCTCACATTTTGTTCTATTAATAAGATAGTTACACAGTGGCATATCTGTGGAAGATCCCTGAATGGGATTCTGAGTTCTGATCAAAGTAATGACTGTGGCTGAAGTATGACTGACTCCAGGCACATGATTTTCTAAACACCACCCTGGGCATTCTCATCCATTCCCCCTTAATCTCATGTATAAATGCATGCAAAGTCATGTGACTACACAGTTGGCAATTTATCTAAACCTGGTAAGAGGGCCCTGTGCCCATGGCTATTGGGAAGCACTCTCATGATTCATGTCAAGTAATTTACAGGTTAAATACCTAGTTACTTGACAAAATTATGAGGGTGGGGCAAACAGTACTAAACACTAAGACACAATGGAGCTTGTATACATGCCTTCCTTAGTCACTTTGGGTTACTATAACAAGATACCTTAGATCAGGTATCTTAAAAATTAGAAATTTATTTCTTACAGTCAGGAAGCTGGAAGTCAAGATCAGAGTGTTAGTATGGTTGAGGTCTGGTGAGAGACCTCTTTCTCGTATGCAGATGTCTGCTTCTTGCTGTGTCCTCACATGGGAGAGAAAGATCATCTCTTTCATGTCTCTTCATATGACGGTACTAATCTCATTTATGTAGGCTCTGTCCTCATGACCTAATTACCTCTCAAAAATCCCACCTCCAAATGCCATCACATTGAGAATTAGAACTTCAACATATAAATATTGGGGTGATATGTTCAGTTTGTAACAATACCCAAAGCTGACTTGTGACCAATTTGTGAGATAAATGTAAAGGTGTCAAGTCTACTCATTTTCCTACTGCAG